GTCCAGATTACCTCTGAATTTATCTGATAACTAGCGACCCGCTTCGGCTTCGCACGGGTAAATCTCTAATTTATCCTTGTATAGCCATTTCAGCCGTTAACTTCCACATACTGAGAGTTTTGCCAGTAGTTGCTATGCTTCGTTGGCGAGTTGGCAACCGCAGTAACGTTTTTAGAAATGTTTTAAGAGGGACGTAGCTGTCCATCCTTCTACAATAAGTTTCTTTCTTATGACACCCACAGAAATGCAAAGGTTAGCCTACATTATTTACTTATTTAAGGAACACCAACAGCATATTGCATTATAACATATAGTTATAACAAATATACGCTATGCCGGTATCACACGGCAAACTAATAATAAATGATAATAATAACTATAAAATTTCTTTAAATAGATAATAATAGAATGGCAATCACGCCTGAGAATGAAGCAGGGCCGTAGCTAGATCTAAGTTTAAGGTTCATTTGCTCTAATGAACTTTTTGGTAGGGTAGAAGCCATAATTAAGTGACATCGAAAAAGTGAACCTGTCTAGTTTTCTTGAGGCCTTTCATTTTAAGATAGGGCATTGTCCCTTAGTACTGCTCCTCCTAGCTATGACTATGAGTGAGTCACTTGATCCATTCTAAAATTTGTAAAATCATCGTTTTAGTATCAATCTTTATTATTTATAGAATATCGCTAATTTATTATCTTAACATTAAACAAAATTGCAATTACTTTGAATCAAAAATAAGTAAAACAATTAATTACTATATAGGTATCGCAAATCGTTTAATTATACCTACGATGAGACCAACTTTTTGCAAACTAAGCCCTTTAGCTAATGGATTATCAAGCTAATCTTGTCGTCAAAAGATTTATGGGAAACGAGCTCCTGAATTATTATGAGAGCCTGGTATTGATGAGGGGCCATTATAGTGAATATCGAGTAGACATGATCAGTTTTTTTTTAAATTATGGATTTTGAGATAAAGGTATTAAAAGATAATTTTCAACAGAAAAAAAAAACATATTCGCGAGCATAATCTAGTGGGAGATAGTCAGAGGAATTTGTAGACTTTATCCAAATACTGTGACAGTGAAAGTAATGCTCAACATACTTGCTCATATTTTGCAAACCATATCTTAGTGTCTTATGGGAGACAAACGTGACAGATATGTATGTATGTATCTATGTATACCTATATATGTGTGTGTGTGTTTTTATTGCAACTTAGAATGGTAAACAAGCTGACAGCCCACCTGATGGAAAGTGGTACCCGTTACCTATAGACATAAACAGTACCATGGACATAACAGAGTATATTGTTTTGTGATACCTCCCATGCGTTGCCATTCCTGAGAATTCAGGTGTTATTCCACTGTAGCCTGTAAATTCACTGCCATGTGTGTTTCTTAGTAGTATATAATAAAACTATACTATAATAAAACTAAACTACTAACTAAAATATAATAAAATTGCAACTGAACGATGTCTAAACATGGAAGATATTTAAGAAAAATTGATGTAAGAAGTTTTAATAGAAACAATAGAAGCCAAAACAATATTAAAAAAAAAAATTGTCTGTCTGTCTATCTGTACAAAAACGTGCCGGTTCATTGCATCAAATAAAAACTATTACACCAAATTGAATGCAGTTTACACTGTTATTTTTTGAAGCTCTAACTTAAAAAAACACATTTTGATATGCCTTCTTAAAGTGACATAATACATTGGTTTTTCCTACTTCTAAAACTTAGTTTTAATATATTTAAAAAATAAATTATTAGTAGACGATATCCCGTCTGTCTTTTCATCATTAAGAACTTAATATGCTACAGCGCCATATAGAAGCTAGCTGTAGCAAAGTGACTATTATAATTGGAGATTTATGATTTACGGAAACCTTTTCAATGAAAAATTCATATATAATGTTCCAATTTTCACGACGATCGGTCAAACGGCGTCAGAGACTATTAATCTCAAACATAGATACATATGTTTAGAATCCATTTTTATAACGCCACCGGACATTGTCAGAGGATGATATTTCTGGTAATCTTGTCATAATCATATAACCCAAAATTCCGTATGAATCTATAGTTTGGACATGGCTGAATTAGCACCCAAAAGCAACTCCCTTATCTCTATAAGGTCAGTCGCATTTTTTCTGTTCAATCGTGAACTTTACTGCGTTGCATTAAAGTACAAATTTTGTTTAACGTGTCGCAACTTTTGTTACAAACCGTCCCAGTGCTAACGTCGCATAATGGTGCCATTTCTGTGGAAAATGGCCTTCGAGCGCTTCATATTCCGTTTGGTGATATATGATCCCAATTTTATTACTATAATCTTGCAATGCAATAGATAAATTCATATAGATTTATTTCAAATAACTATTAACTACTATGAGAAATTTATATTACGAGTAGTGACAAAATATTTATGTTATAGAGGAAAGCAGTTTATATAAAACAAAATTAATTAATTAATAAATTCAAAATAAATAAATTCATTTCGTACAGGTAATAAAAGAATACAAAAATTATTTTATATACCGATTTGTAATAATAATATATCGTATCACAATCCAATTATCCGCATGTGAAGAAAATATAACAATGTATGCAAGGAGCTTGATATCTTCCAACAATCCTTGCAACGTTACATTAAGGCTGCCAATTTGTTACTTTAAATTTATAGCCGTCATTCTTTTAATGTATATAATATCGAATGTTATGCAGAGCAGTTATTGGAGTGCAAATTTAATGCCGTTTTATGTAATATTTATTTTATAAATGTATTAATTTGTAAGGTTGCCTTGCTATAAATAAATAAATATAAAATGTAAATATAAATCACCGTGTAGTTCCAGCATAGAATGGGCCATCCTTTCCTTTCCCGTAAGTCTTGTCAGAGACGATTAAAAATTTTTATGGTTGGCAGATGGACAATAGGGGCAACATTACCAAAGCCTAACTATATTTGCCTGTTTGCTAAGCGTGGCAACTACTGGCAACACCATCTAGGGGGAGGCTTATCCTTAGCAATGGACAGTTAACGGCTGAGATGATGAAATAAATTACAAATGTTCTTTACGACGAAAATTCCATAACGGAAACCGTCTACAAATAGGGAATATCTCTAGAAACATACCTATTTGTAGACAATTACCGTTATGGTGTGCTTAGCACTTGTCATGCTCACATTTCGCGTGGATATTTAAATACAATGCAATATGGGGCTCCGTCACTTGGTAGAATTTAATTAGTTAACAGCTATTGCCATCAACGAAATTGTTTTTTTTTTTAATTCGATTGGCAAATAAGCTGATAATCCACCTGATGCAAAATGGTAATCGTCGCCTATAGACACTAACAGTACTATGAATATAACGGCGTACTCGTATACTGTGTTGCCCATAATACCCTTCATGCGTTGCCATTCCTAAAGACAAAGGTGCGATGTCATATACCACGCTTTAAACCTTTCGGTTTAAAGCGTGGTATCTGACAGTGAAATGACACGCAGACATGCAAACACAATTACTTCACGACAGAAACACGATTAATTTTACATGATACCCAAAATTTTTTATATTAACCAGATTCTTTGAGATCTTATATGGAAACAGAGAGGCAGTATACTACTAGGCCATGATACTTTTTCTCTTGGGGGAAAGACATTACTAACTATTACAGTAAATTGTAGATTGCTAACTGCCTCACTGCTAGCAATATACCGTATCAGGTCGACTTCCACGCGGTTCCCATAAAATAATAAGTAAATATGTTGTCACTGTAAAATATTCTATGTAACATTCGGCTTTTTGTTTGTTTTCATAGTACAATAAAATGAATTTTGAATGCCAGATTTTGACGAAGAGTATTTCAATATTATATACCATCTTTTTACCACTTTTTAAACAAAATAAAGTTATTTGTACTTTGTATTTGTATTTCCTCGTGAAAACTGTCGTGGTTAGTTCTTGTTGAATTAACCAGGATGAGCTAACTGATCTGCTTCATCCTTTCCTATAATCACTTACTGGTGCCCCACCAGCTTGTACTGACGTGACTGAGGTTGTCTATCCGTTATCTTTTATTTAATAAAAACATACTCTCTCTCAGACACACACGTACATACACACACACACACACACACACACACACACACAAACACTGTTATTCGAATAGATTACAAATTGCCAAAAAAGAAAATAAAAAAGCAAATTTTTAAAAGCTCTCGATTTTCCATTCACCTTAAATACAAATATTTCACCGTTTATCAAGTTGCTCCGATACAGGCCGGTTATAACGGTCGATTTATCATATCGCGGCCAATAATACGCCACCTTTTTGGCACATCAGCAGTGAAAGGGCTGTGTTTAAAATGTTTTATAAAAGCACCAACTGATATTGAGATAATAATCTATGGTTATGCAATACTGTACTTTTAAGACGTACCTAAATGTTTTGTAAATAAAATTTATTTTCAATCGACTTCAAAAAAAAAAGGTTCTTAATTATCTATCCTTAGGGCTGCCATCTCCAAAATCTGCCCCCCAGGACCGGAAGCGTAATTTCGCCGGATATTGGAGCTTTCACCTTGGACATTTCATTACTTTTTTTATTCACTTACATCTTGATTAAAATATATTTTACTTTGTACTTGATAGAAGAAACCTAAAGGTAAAATTAAAACTTTAAGCCTCTTTTGTTGCATGAAATAGTGTCTTTAATCGTTCTTTTACTCGTCCAGACTTTTATTGTAGTGCAGGTTGCACCCGGACAATTTAAACCTCGCCCGGTCGCTCCCTGGACGTCTTCCAAACTACGACAAATCCAGGGAAACCCGGACGAATGGCAGCCCTACCTATCCTTCATGTACAAGGGTTTCTAGACATCATGGTCTAGAAACCATAAGTCTAGAAAACTAGTCTACTAATAATCCCTTACTTTGATTCTCCTAGCTTATAAATCAAACACAATCTAACAATCACCCCATCGTTTCAGAAGCTGGTAGTGGGTGGTCCGAATCAACGCAACTGGCGAGGGATCCTCATAGCTCTGCTGGTCATCGTCGCCGTTCTGGCCTTGATCGTCACATCTGTAGTACTTCTAACGCCGCCTGATGAAGGGCCCAGGGTAAAAGGCCGGAGGCTGCGAATCCAAGACATATTATCTGATGATCTGGTACCAGTAAGATGGAATGGCACGTGGATTTCGGGTGAGTTTTATTATAAATAAATATGCTCAGTATTATAATCCTTAATGAAGTAGCTATATTTTATAAACTGTTTTCATTGTGGTGAACATGACACTCGACTTGTCCATATTTCGCCAAGCATCCATACATACGAGCATGCATCCGTCACCTCTGTCTTCCATTGAAGTTGGCAGAAACAGCGGAACGCCAAATGCTCGGACTCAAACAGACCTCTTTCCCTTCTTCCACATACCTAATTATATTCAAACACGTTCGTCGATTACGGCCGCTTTTAGTTTAGTCCTTCTTTAGCAGAGGGAGACTTTGTACAAAAGTCGATTGTTTGGGTACCTCTGTCCCTTTCGTGTTTCAACCGTGAAGCAGTTGTGTTTGTATGGCTGTATTTCCGTTTAAAGGGTGGGATATGGCGTGAATTTACTGGGTACAGAGGAAAAACACCTGAGTCCTCAGGAATGGCAACTCATGGGGGGTATCATGGGCGAAACAGTATACTCTGTTATTTCCATGGTACTGCTCATGTCTATAGGCGACGGTTACCACTTTCCATCAAGTGGGCCGTCAGCTTGTTTGCCATTCTAAGTTTTGTAAAAAAAAAAAATAAAAAAACATCGACATCTTTTCTTCTAGGGCGGCCCCTACCGACATCTTCATTCATTCATGTTCGAAAAATCTCCTTCATAATTTTACTTTATTTCATTTTTAATTAATTCTCATGTTTTAAGTTTTTTTTTTTTTTATAATACGTAACAATGAAATAGTTACCACGTCTGAGTTATTGATACACACTGACGTGGCACCAGTTAGTGATGATAGGCAAGGATGAAGTAGGCCAGTTAGCCCATCGTGACGAATTCAACAAGAATTATTCACGATTGACTCCAGGGGAAACTGCGTCGAGGTTGATCGGATAGGGTATATTGCTAGCAATGGGGCTGTCAAACCCCAGTACCCTGACTAGCCCATTAGTCGTGAGCATATTTTTTTTTATTTTTAAGTAAAAATATAGAGGTACAGATTACACGATTACAATTTTATGTAAGCACAGATTAATAAAGTTTATACAGCGCTCGTTATAAGCCGATTATGACTAAGCACTTTTAGAGCAAAAATGAGGTTGTAACAGAGTACCTTCAGTGTACCTAGATGAATAATTCAAAAGTGGTTACAATTTATATTACATTAGCTTTTACGCGCGACTTCGTACTGGTGGATTTTGGATATAGGAAGTCTTTTCTAGATGGAATGCCAATATATAGTAAGTCAATTCTAAATATTAATAGTTGTGGCACTTCAGCTGCGCGCTAACGACATACTTTCTAACTATATTGGATTGACTAGGAGAGATCTCTGTTAGAGATAAGTCCACCCTTCTTCTTAACATTTATAAATGCATTAACAATGTAATTTACAAGTGCAATATAGAATATGAAATACTTCCGAACCGATACGACATTGTGAGCGTTTATCCCTTTTTAAGAGGCCGGGGTAGCCCATCTGCAACTACTTTGGTGTTGCGGGAGGCAATGGGCGGCGGTAGTCACTTACCATCAGATGAGCATGCTTGTTTACCCCCCCTCCTCCCATTATAAAAAAAGGGGTTCGTTTGCCCCTGTGTAAATAATAGTTTTAAGGTTTTCCTATCTAGATATCTAGCCTGGCTACATTATAACCTATTTTAATAGAACTTACATATTAGAAGGGGATTTTTTATTGTGAAATTACTCGTTTCATAAAACAGAATATTTATTGAATGAACCGGTTATTTAATTGGACATCAGCAGTCTGTCTCATGATTAAGTTAATTTTTAGTTTTATTTACATTTTAATTAAGTCTCGTTGAAGTATATTAATATCGCAGGGAAATATTTATTAGGAGGAATAATTTGAACTAATTTTGTAATAGGTTTAAGTCCAAATTATTATAATTTTAGTTTCTGATGGTCCACAAAATAGTAATTTTGCGAAATTATCATATTAAAATATTAAGAGATAAATTTAGAGAAATGACACACCAGAATCGGCCTCGATTACAAAAAAAAACAAGATCATCGCTCTCAGTTATATAAAACTGATTTAATTCGTTGACGCGTTCCACAAGTTACTAGTTCCCGACACGGAAACGCCATTTATGTTAAATTCTCACCTCGGCTGTTACCTTGAAAGTTTTTGAGTGCTCCAACAACTTACGAAGTTCTGAGTAGTAGAAGCATTGGGCCAATCAGATGCTTCTCGATTCTTGTGGTTTTAATACAGCATAGGAACTGGTCTGCTCATGTTTCTTTTTATTATTATTTTTATATCAGTCGTTTACTGTCCATTGCTGAACATAGGCCTCCCTTTATTGAGGGTTTTGCCAGTAGTTGTCACCTTTGGCAGGCGGGTTGGTAACCGTTGTAATTAAAGTATCCTATATGCTTAAATTAGGGTATAGCCCACCAGTATACTAAATGTCGTTCAAGTCGGCAGTAGTTTATGAAATTAGAGGAAAAGTAGCAAATATCCATCCATTGCTACAAATTTATGCTTTTATTATATTGTAATAGGATTACTATATTAACTAATTTTAAATAGATTTAGTAATACTAAACTACATGACTTGGTGAACTTTGTATCATTTACAACGCCATCTATTAAAAATAATAAGAAATAGCGATTCCAATACTAAATTTTAAGCTACGCCTGGTTTATAACGAACAAAACGAAAAAGAAGAATACAAATCGATCAAGCCGCTTTTGAGTTTTAGCGAGAATATTAGCAATTAATTTTTTTATATATATGAAGAAGAAAGATATCACAAAAATAAAATCATTTTGATTAAATAAATCAATTTTCAAAATTTATTTACAATTGACTAAGAAAACTATGGACTTTTCAAGTTCCTTAAACATACGATTGATTGATTGAAAAAACTACTTAATGTATTAAGGTAAGTTTACCTACAATAGAAATTCAACAATCGAAGTCGCAGGCAATCAACTAGTTTAAAAAGAATTATAACAATAAATTCTACCTTGACTAGGTATTCGCTATAAAAACGGTCTTCACAATTTTGAGGGAGTTAACAAGTTAAATGTTCAATATTGTTAGAACGCTCAATGAGCAAACTTCCAAAGGCGAAGTTTTAAAAAGCTTCCAGTTTTGTTTATTGCCACTAATGATTTCATGCCGATTCTATTCGAAATTTGAAATATATTTTTTTCTTTTTTTATACTTACTAGCTTTTTCGCGTGGCTGTATCTCCGTATGTAGGTATGTTTACTGACTGGGATAAAAAGGAACCTATAGCCTTCTCCATTCCATACAGTATGTATGGGTGCATTGAATTTCATAGTGTATAACCCTGTGTATACATGAAACCCTATGTATGATAGTGTAATAACTGCCCACTAAGAATGAGCATGTAGACTACCGAATAAACATTGTTTTTTATAATCGATTGTTCCGCAAACCGAAAGTGCTGCCATCTTTATTTATTTTAGCATTCAAACAAACAAATTCTTGTGTTTTATTATAATAATATTGTTAACTGCCTAAGGAATATAAAAAATGGTCTCTTATTTTTTAAATAATTAAAAATACATAAATTAAACAGTAATAATTTATGTATTTTTAATATATAAATGTATTATACAGGTGTTATGCAACTCTGCTATTTTCTCCCCCAAACAAGCTGTCGTACGGAATCCAAAAGAAAATTAATGTTCAAAAGTGACGGTGAAATTAGCAAAGTTGCTGACAGCAGGGAACTGTGCATCGTTATTTATTAAATTTTCGTCCGCGTCTTTTAGCCGCGGTCTCGTTACATTTTAATATCTCTCACTTTTTATGTCGTCCTAGTGAGTCATAATTGTGTTTTAATAACAGTTTACGTTTGTATGTGTACTTGAATGGAAGCCATTGTTGACACAACGCAAGATTGACTGCTTACAGCCGTATTTGGGGGGGGGGGGAGACGTTAGACTGTGAAATGTACTAATACCTGAGATATCAGCTGTTAACTGATATCTCAGGTTTATCACTGCTGAACATAATTGCCACGCTTGGCAGGCGGATTGGCAACAGCAGTTAGGTTTTTTGTAATATTTTAAGAGGGACGCTGCTGACCATTCTACGACCATTTAGTATATAATATAAATATATTATATCTAAAGACGAGCATCATCATCATCATCATTGCCGCCATTATCTGTCCACTGCTGAATACAAGCCTCCTTGCTATAAGGAATGGTCCTAAGCCACTTGTATCCACTAACTCCCTGCAATGTATTTGAGGTCGTCACGAGACGAGTATGTCTGTTATAAATTCAAGGAATTTCTGTTGTTTCATGTTGAAATGAATAAAGCAATTCTGATTATTCGGTTGACTTACAGTTGGGATGGGATAAAATAATTTAACATGTTTCTTAGTAAACGGAACATAACGGTATTTAAGTAGTCACGGAAAATATTCAAATCGGAATTACAAACAACTGCCTCGCTATAGCTATTCTTGAAAAGGTTAATAATCTCAAATAATAAAGGTTAATAATAATAAAAGGTTAATAATTTATTTGTATTTGCAACCGACTTTAAAAAGAAAGAAGTTCGAATTCGGTTGCATTTATTTTATCTTTGTTAATTCATAAATCCGTTAGTTCTAAACCAATTTGGATTTATTTTTTAAATGGATGAATGGACATATAAATTGGTCCCATAGAAATATTATCAAAATCGCTTGAATAGTATAGTTTAGTTTTTAAATAAACATAACTGATTTTTCCACAATTGAAGTAAGTTTTTCTTGTTGAACCCAAACGACACAATACTATCATTAAGCCCACCTTTTGGGTCATATTTTTTTGTAAAGTTATTTAAATAAGTAAATCTTAAATCATTATTTTAAATAAGTTATTGTTGGTATTGTTGATATTGTTGGCAATTGAAAACTGTTTTGTGGATTATTTTTTAAATTAAAGAAAGAAAAAGGAAGATAAATGCGTAACATACACGTTACGCGTTA